GACTCTTAAGTTGATGAAGCTTTCATGGGCCCTTAATTGAGAGACGGGTCAGGTGTTGTTACCACTAATGATCCTAACAAATCCCTAAAAATCCTACCCCCACATCCCCTCTTTCGTTTACATGAAAAAAAAAAAAAACCTTGACCAGAGCAGCTGTCCCAAGGTTCCACCTTTTTAACACCCACAGTGCAGCCTTGACACTTAATTTCACAGAGACTCACACCTTGGGACATCTAAACAAAGCAGCGCACATCTTGGCATCACTGAGGGCTTGTTAGGATTATCAGAGTCAACGGTACTAACAGGAAATTGAATAGAGGTTTTAGAGCCAGACCCATGGTACCTTGATTGTCTCAATAGTGATTGTAATGGCTTTGTTAGTGACCTCTATTGCCCTATCCGTGTCAATGTTTGTGATCACACTATATAACCCTGATACTTCCAAAAACAACTGTTTTGAAGAAGTCTAAAAGATGAGAGGTGAAATGTCTTCCAGATAACAGGAAAAGTTGATTTCTCCTCATTTAAAGTAGCAAAAATCTGCTTGGACTGCACTAGGGTTTCATAGTCCACTCCTAATATACAGAAATAATGTTTCTTACCTGAGATAATGTATGTATGGTAGAGCCTGTAGCAGGGATTCACACAGACTCTGGCAGACTGGACCTCTTTGGGTCCACTGGAGGCAGACATGGATCTTTGTAGCTGACTTCTGGATGACCTTCACAGCTCTTTCAAACAGCTGCTTTTTACCTACAACTGGAAGATACAGCTGGTTTCCACAGAGACGCAGTAATGTNTGACTGTACCTGAGCTGTGAGATAAAAGGCAGACACTGCAGGAAACTCCTCACTTCACTCTCTTCATGTGAGCAGTGTGTCAGCTCCACTGGTTTCTTCTCTGGTTGGAGTTTCATCACTTCCAGGAGGATGGAGGTCTTTCTCTCTGAGAGCTTTATGGTCCAGAGTTCAGGAGCCGACTGGAAAACTGACTGTAATGATGGAAGGAGACTCAGACCTGATTTAGTCTCTCTGTCCTTCATCTGGGAGTACAGATCCAGCAGGAAGTCACTCTGAGATTTATATTTATGACCTAATAAAGTTTCATATCTACAGACTGATGCTAACATCTCCAGCATCTTCTCTCCTGTCTGCTGTTCTCTCTCTGCTGCTGCACAGAACAGATTCACTAAAAACCTGGTTTGTTCATGAAGATCTGAGCTCTGATGACCAAACCTGGAACAACAAGAAGGAAACATTTAGTGATGATTTGATCTGAGCTGCATAAATACAACCACTCACTACTGATGGACTCCATCTTGTCTGTCCTCTATGTGATGAAATTACATGTTAAACATGTTTGATCAGATCAGCTGCTACTGACTCTCAACACAAACTCTGATCCTCAGCTTCAGATCTCTGAGTTATTATCATCTCTGGGATTTTAGGATTTGAGTTTTTAGACTAAAACATCAAAACTGAAACCAAACATGAGAGAAACGACCAAAACTTCAGTTCATCTGATGAACAACAGGAGCTAAAGCTTCACCTTGATCCTCATTTAACACATAAATCTCAGTTCTGCTGCTCAACATCTGCAGCTGGAGACACAAAGTGATGAAGACTCCTTGGTGTGTGTCATCCTAATGTGTTGTTCTCTATAGAGCTGCTAGGATCTTCATCATGCTCAGTAAAGTTCACTGCAGTCTCA